AGAAACGAACTTTGTGTGGTAATTGGTATACAAGTTACATATCGTGCACTCTAAGTTAGAACTTATTATTTGTCACAAAATATTAATAGTTGAACTTATTATTATTGGTTAAACCAAGCCTAATTAAACACCGAACTAGAAAAGGGAATACAATTCTTATCAACTATAAATTTTGTGACTGATTATTAGAGTTATTGAGCGTAAAAACCGAACTGAAATGAGTTTAAATATCCTTCATATGGATGTGTGTTAGGCTTGATGATCTAAAACTTTGAATTTCGAAAAACAAATAAAATGCAGGTCATCTTGCAAAAAGTACAATCTCCACGTAGCATGCGTGAGAGAGATGTTGGTGGAGAATTGGCGAGATTTGTACAAAGGACACAATGGTAAAAGCCTGACTTTGAAGAACACACTTGAGCATCACCACCGTAGCAGCAGCAAAGGCAAAGTTCAGAAATGCTGCGAGATCGCCGGAATGGCCATGCAATTCGTCATCTCTGCTGTACTCGGCGATCCAACGGCCCTTATTGCCGGAGTTGTAGGCTCCCTCATCTCTCGAGGATGATTTCTCTTCCTCTCACAGTGGCAGACCCAGGAAAGAGGGAGGTTGGTCAATTGACCTGGGTAATATTGTTAAATATAATTTAGTACATGTAAAATAATGAGGATTCTATAGCATAAATGGTAGTTTCCATGGTGATGACCCACCAAAAACTTGGGTTTGAATTTGTCTCTGCCTATGTACAGTTTGAAATAATTTTTTTCGTTTTGGAATGTTGACCTAGGTATAAAAAATTTCGGTTTTTATGCTTTGTGCTTTAATAATAAACTTTATAATTAGGAGATCAAGAAAACTTGTATATATAAAATAAATAATATGTTGATGAAAAAGAAAAAAAATCGAATAGGTAAGAGAGTTACGTCAAGTATACTTCCATGGGTCCGTGCTCATTGGTTATTGGGCAAATCTGAACTGCTGCTAAAAGTTCGAGCGTCTTTATGGATTTTACTTGAGCAATCACCTCTCTCATTCTAGCACCCAATTGTTTCATAGATTGTGAATTTCTTTGAACAACCACTTGGAAGACAAACTCCTCGTAATCAACAAACATGTGAAAGCAAGGAAAACATCGTTGGGGTATGTTTTTGATGGCTCTCTGACGTTCAAGTCACAAAAGAGCAAAATGAGAGTAAAGAGGAAAGAACACGGAAAAAGTCGTGA